GAAGGTAGTGTCATAAAACTATGAGACATGAGAACATTCTAAGAGGAATTTGTATTGAGGAAGGACAATAAGGTTGTTTGGAGACCAATTATTAGAGTATTTCAGATTATGGGACAGTTTTGAGGGCATGAATCATTTCCTTCTCTTACATCCATCTATCCCTCTCCCCTTCCCTTCCTTCTCTTTTGCTTTCCTTGGAAAATAGAAAGTTGATGAGCTTCCTAGGTACCTAAGTTACTGTCTCTTTTTGTACTGAATATGGGATTGACCTGCAACTAAAGGAAGAAACATCAGAAGAAAGCCATTTGTACATGTAAGCAATCTCTAGCCAGAGAAAGATCATATCTTTCCTCTCTCACTTCTACCCCCTTTTCTTGGTGTTTACATTTCTAGGAACATGGCCTATTCTGAAACCATTGCTGTAACACATATGAGATAAACAAAGGTAGATACAGGCCACCTAGGGCCAGTGAAAAAGAGGCCTTAATAAAGTATGAGAATTGCATGTCTTAATGATCTTCTGAGCATTTGTGGGAAGGACTTAGCAAAGAACTATCCTGATCTTTTATGTATCCACTCTGGGAAACGACACTGCACCCTGGTGGCTGTCATTGGAACTACTCTCACTTTTCCAGTGTTCAGAGAAAGTGAGACTCGGAAGCCTTGAGCTCACATATCAGTGGGGGGGGGGAGCTCTTCTTGTGCGTATCCACTAATGAACGAACTAGAGATATAGGCTTACTTATCACTAAGAGACCACAGAGTACAAGAAGCAAAAGTATTCGCGATAGTGGACCTCAAGCCATCAAGAACAGAGTTGTAGTTTTGCAAAGAAAACAGTATCTTAAAGTCAATTTGGGGAAAAGGGAGTTTGCGGACAAATGCTATGGAGGGATGAGATTGTAATGAAAGGATGCAGCTGAATGAGGAATTAGAGTGTAAAGAAAGAATTAATGAGAATCTGAAGTTTCTTGGAATGAGTTGTTTTTGCTTTCCCATCATCAGGTTTTATTCATATATTTCAGTTTAATTTCACCAAAGGTTCACTTTGCTTGGTAAAGTCATACTTTAATGGTTGTAGAATTGCTTTAAGTTCCGAATTGAACTCACATTTGTAGTCATCTTTTATTTGAAGTCAGGAGAAGTCCTGGAGAAGGTGAAATTAGAATGATGCATCAACACAGAAAGTAAAAGCAAAGTCTCAGCAGAAGTTAGTTTTCCTATCAGCAAAGTGAAGATGATGCTGCCCACTTCACAACACTATTGTAGAGTTAAGTGTATGTATTCCTTCTGGAAACTAATTAAATGGACAATCAGTTCTATTGCACATGTCAGTATTATTAAGTGCATTGCCTCTGCAATGAGTTCATTTGCTATGCAGTGATATTTGATGAGCTGCAAAGCATCTTTGCCTCTTTCGTGTGAGGCACACACACACAAACACAACACATGTATGTACACAGAAAGAGCAAGAGAACAAATATCAGGAACTAATTGCCCCCTCGGCATTAAACAAATTATCTCGAATACTCTTGAGGTCGAGAACTTTTGAGTTACTTTGAGAAGCTTTGTATATGAATTTAAACAATGTGACAGGGGGAAAACAGAGGGAGACCCAACATCAGTCTTAGACAGCTGGTTTAATGTCCTTGGTAGAGAAATTTACACACCCATCTATGTAAGGCAACCCATGGGCACACATATCACATTTATAGGTGCCTGTATATATTTGTCCAATAGGCTAAATTTTACAATTATCTTAAAATATTCTCTATCATGATGCATTTTTATCTACTTGTCAGTTATAAGAAAAGGTGTAAAATGTCAAGACGAATTCTTCTATTCTTTGTACTTTATTTGTTTAAGTTCAAAATATTAAATTCATACTTTGCAAAATAGTATATTTTTATTGTCACTAGGTGTGTATGTGTTTGCTTGTGTGTGTGTGTGTGTATGTGTGTGTGCATGTGCATGTTTATGCCTGTGTGTGAGTGCATGTGTGTGTGTATGTGTGTGTTTGGTTGTTTTATTGAGACAAGGTCTTTCCTCATAACAGAGACTGGCCTAAAACTCAGTCTTCACGCTTCAGCCTTCAAAGTACAGTGAGTACAAATGTGAACCCCTTGGCCTGGCTTAGAAATGGATTTTGATTTAAATATTATACTGTATTTTATTTATTCTCTTTTGCATTTTCACTGTTTCCTCTGAAATATCATTTTCCATGTTATTTCAAACATTCTGTCCGAGCCAGGTGGTGGCCCTGCACACCTTTACTCCCAGCACTTGGGAGGCAGAGGCAGGCGGGCCTCTGTGAGTTTGAGGAGAGCCTGATCTACAAAGCCACACAGAGAAACACTGTCTTGAAAAAATAAAAGTCTGTGTTAATGTTTAATGGAAATAACCCGCCTCATTAGAAATCACAAGTCATGCTATGTTTCAGTCTATCTTGAGTCTATTTTTTCTAAGCCTCATTTAACTATAATTTTAACAATTCTGACAAGGACATCTTTGTCTAATACTCATGCTACACTGAATTCTACTTATGATTCTTAATGAGTTCATTCTCTCTGTCATCTCCTACTACAGTTACTAACCATTCTTTCTCTGTAGTTTCATATTTTCATTTTTAAATTACACCTTTTGCAGTGACATTTTTCGAATTTCATATTTTTCCACCACTGAGTTGGCTATCATTCATTTCTTTTCAAGGGTATATGTTGGCTGCCTAACTAAATTGTATAACAATTAATAATGAAGTTGTTGGTCACAGAGCTGTAGTGCCCATTCCTAGACAGATGTCTGCATCGGAGTTACATTACCTCATCAAATATTGTTTTTAATTTAATTTTATTCTTTGTGGAATTTCCACACTTTATGTCCTGCTCCAACATAAATTTCAAGTTATGTTAAAAGCATTTTTGTCAGTACTTTTATGATTTTATGGGAGAAGGTGAGGGTTTTTTCTTTCAGATATTTAGTATTCAATATGAATTCACTTGTAAATTACATGTGTTTCCCCTCAGAAAATGGTAACTATATTTAATTATGTATACACATGCATATAAAATGCATAATGGCTAGTATCAGGAAGGTATTTGCTTCATTATTTGCCAAATTGTACATCTCTTATATTTACTATTTGAAGACAGGAATTGTATATAGAAATGCATTATTAATTAATATGAACTGACTTACGAGTGCACACATAGAACTCCACTATATTGTTGTAGAAAAGGGTGTTATCTAACTGGCCAAAGCCTCATAGGTAACATATTATACAAAAATTTCCCTTGAGGGCTGGATGTGTGTTTCATTTGTAGAGTGTGTGCTTAGTATGCACAAGACCTTGGCTTCAGTCTTGAGAACCACACATACACATACTAAAAACAGAGCCATAAGCTAAAATCCTGAGATAGAGGTCCTTTGGATTGGACTTAATAAAATATATAGAATTTCCATGTTTAAATTTTAAAATGCCAAGAGGACTTGGTTTGGAAACCATTATAGCTTAAATCAAATTCTAAATGAAGACTTGAGAGACTTGGCTATTAGCAAACTGTAGCCTGCTGACTCTCTTTTCATAAATAAAATTACATTAGGATGTATTTACACTTAATCATTTACATTCTATCTATCTATGGCTACTTTTCTGTCAGAACAGTGGGCATGAAGCAGTTACAACAAATACTATATGACTCATAAATACTATAATATTTACTATCTGACCTTTTACTGAAAAGTTTACTGACATCCATACTATATCACACTCTATATACAGAATAAATTTATAAGAAAATTATTCATTTTGCATTCATTAGTGGCCCCAACAGTAAAGAGCTGATTTAGGGGCTACATAAGTGTCTATTCTTGATTGTCCTAATGCTCCGAGTTTATTTCTTTGTATTTGATTGGGGTTACTTCTTTTCTTCACTAACCCACAATCATTTCGTTTAAAAGAAGGTGTAAGATTCCCAGTGCTGTTTTGTACACATCTTTTGAAACAATAGTCATCCCTGGTTGTTTCTTACTAACTTGAACTTATGTTGATAGTAGAGTATAAAAGAGTCATTGTATCAAACAATCCATCAATGAACTGATGAGGCATTTGTGAATTCATTAAATGAAATATCACATGCATTATCCTTTTAGAAAGTGAAATTCTCTGGATTTCCGCTGGAAATGGTGTTACCATAGTACTCAACTGTATTGTATGGGTGTTTACACACATTTGCTTTACGTGTGTATTAAATAGAAAAAGTACCAGTTGCCAAAGGAGAAAGTTGTGACTTGAGTTCTGCATAAAGAGTTGTTAGAGGCTAAAAAGAAACACATAACATAACCAAATCCCAAGTCAGAAGCACCACTGAACAGGACCCTGGCTGACCACTTTCTACGTCTGGGGAGTGCAGCTCTCACAGTCATCTTAAGTGCAGCGTAGCATCAACTGCTAGAATTAACAACGTCATGTGTGCATTCTGTGTTTTAGGGGACACTCGTGTCCATCCCACTAGCTCAGACACACAGATGAATTTTACCAGCTATTTCCCAGGATTTCCTCCTGGTGAAATGGCCCAAGATCATTGACTAGACTTAGTGGTTCTCATTTACAGCATGGAGAAATCCTCAATAGGAGAGACTTGCTACAGGTTGGCGAGTTTTGTTCCAATACATCTGTTTATAGCAGTTTAAGATAGAAGGACTTAAACTAATGGATTGAGGGATTTGGCTCTTACTGTAAGCATTTTTATGGGGAAGGGCTTGCTTTAGGAGCCATGGTTGATGCACACCCAAGTGGTAAGTAGGAGCTCTAGATTGAGATCAAGGAAGGTCGCGGTATGTATACACCAGGATAGACTTGTTATGCTTTTAGTTTGGTGGGGAAAATAGGTTTGCATGTTTTCTTCAAACAGCTCAACTTTGTTTTGTTTTTAGAAAAAAAATTGTCGAGTGTTCAGTCTTCCTTCATTTACTTAGTTTATTCTCTCGTCTCTTTTGCCCAGGAGATTGCATCAACAGTTTGAAAGCTATAAGGAGCAAGTGAGAAAAATCGGAGAGGAAGCGCGGCGTTACCAGGGCGAGCACAAAGATGATGCCCCGACTTGTGGAATCTGTCACAAGACAAAGTTCGCTGATGGATGTGGCCATCTTTGCTCCTATTGTCGCACCAAGTTCTGTGCACGCTGTGGAGGCCGAGTGTCCCTCCGATCGAACAATGTGAGTACCCTGTGAACACTCCAGGTGCCCAAGCTCTGAAAAAAGCCACCACAATTGCAAGCATGTAAGCACTTGGGTGATCAGAGACTAAAGCATGCGTGTAATATGCACAGGAATATATCCTTCCGTGGTTTGTGTTTTTATAAGATGCAGAAACAGTGGAGTAAAGATGAGCATAACACTGAGTAAGTGTTGGCAGGTGGGGAGCTTTATAGATGATTCCAACTTCAAGCCAAAAGAAGACCTGTCTAAAGCATATGTGTTTTTGTTTGTTTGTTTTGAAGTAAATGTAAACTTAGTACCACTGAGGATTACAGAATCCTTGAAATTTTCTATAATATATTAGACAGTGGTTAGCTCCCATGATAGTAATTTCAGATTTACTAGCAAGCCAAAGGATTACTGTCCCATTTATCTCATGAGAAGTGTCCAGTCATTTAAGGAACTTACAAGCCATTTTTAAATGCTAGAGTTATGATGTATTCCAACCCAAAGAAATTTTCTAATTTTGCTGAAATGAGACCATGGTATTTTGTTGTACCCTAGTTTTAAGTTAGTACAAATATTTTGTGCTTTAAGATTTTAAATAAAAAAAAATCTTGTATAACAGAACCCAACTTTACACTTTGTGAAATTCAGGACCCATAGTAGCAATTATTTACTCTAGAATACATTTGAGTGTTATATTTTTCTAACATTGCCTGTGTTAGTACAGTCAAATTATTTGTAGAAAATATACAAATTAATTTTTTGGTTGGGATCTATGGTATAGTATTGAACAATTATGGTGATCACTGCCTTAAAATTTTCCTAGTATTTAGTCCAAGTTATCATGTTGTTTAGCCATGTGAAGAATGTGATACAAAATTTAAACCATTAAAACTCTAACCACTCTAGAAATTCTTCTAATTAGGAAAAATCTATTAAGATTGAGAGGAAGTTTCTCAGTTGACCATGCATGCATTAGTTGGTCATCTGAATCTTAGTGGGGTATTCTAGAATCTCTTTCAGGGTAATTAAGACATTGAATATAATCAGCATGTTTTATAATTTAATGTATGATCAGTGTTGTCCCTAAATAAGCATTCCTTAACTATGAAACAAAGAGTAGTGTTTTTCTTTTATGGTTGTTATGAGAATGAAATAAAAAAAGAATTTAAACCAATGTCACATGTAGAGAGCCCACAAGATGTATTTGTTAACCCCTCATCCAATTTTAGTTTCGTAAGTACGTCCTTTGCGATGGATTTTTGTGGGTGGGTCATGGAGTTGATTGCAATACCTAATACTCTGAAAGTTGCTGGTGGCAGTGGCAGTTAGAGTATATCAGCCAGGGCTTAGTGCTGGCTGGGTACCCACAGCTGCTGAAGCTGTTAACTGCCCATTATAGGGTTGAAGCACGCCAACTGTCCCACAGTTGACTGCTGGTATATAGAAGTTGTTAGGGTCAAATTTAGGTTGTTTAAAGAAAACTAAGCTAGGAAGTGCCTTTATTCTTTGAAGCAGATGCTAATGCCTGTTTTAGTTCTTCCGTCTTATACTAAAATAACCCCAACTTGAAAAGATATTTAAAGAAGGACCCACTTAAAAATTTGCCTTTTGTGTAACAACAAAATAGTGTATAAACCTATTTTCTCTTATGATAGATAAAATATCGAAATACAGCTGGGTGGTGGCACACGCCTTTGAACCCAGCACTCAAGAGGCAGAGGCAGGCAGATCTCAGTGAGTTCGAGGCCATTCTGGTCTAGAGCTAGTTCCAGGACAGCCTCCAAAGCCACAGAGAAACCCTGTCTCCAAAAACCAAAGACTGAAAAAAGAAAAATATGCACAAATAAATCTGTTTTTACTGTTAAGGAATAAGTCATGTCTAAAATACTTGAATTCCTTCCATTTTTATCATTGACACTTTTCATTAGATACTTTTTAAAAATTTTTGTTGCTAACCATTTTCACTGTAATTTAATAAAATTTTAGTATCATTCTATGTGTTTAATAAAACACTCTCAATAATAGAGGCAGCATGTGGAGAATTGATATTTCTGTCTGTCTGAAGATTTCCTTTGTTTTTGCTTTTGAGATACTGCTTAGTCCCTCAAGCATCTTGCTATTTATTGATCGATCCCAATTTTGGGATCTTTCTGCCCTAGCCCCCTGAGTGCTAGGATTGCAGATATGTGTCAGGACGCCTGATACCAAAGGCTACTTTAAATGTAGATCTAGTATAAAGTGTAAAACTCAGGAGAGTGGGCTCGGGTCTTGCAGCCAGTATGGACTTTATGTGTTTTAACACTTTGAAGAAATGTATTTGTTGTATAGAGATGACTTAATTAATCCGTGACTCATTCTTGTTTCTATCTTCTCTCCCTGCTCTGCTTCACTGGATGCTTTCCCAAAGGAGGACAAAGTGGTTAGAATCCATGCTTTCTTTTCTATGATTTGATATACTGTATTTTTGTGAACTCGATTAAGTGACAGTTGCATGTAATTCTGTTAACCATAGTATTTCACCATGCAAGTTTATAATTGGAAGAGCTCATCCCTAGTTGTCCTGAGATTGACACTGAACAGAATTTTACATTTGTATATAAAATTTGGGGAAGACTGCATTCATGGAAATACTGATGTTTTGATGTCATTACCAGCTTGTCATCCTTAGCTTTAGGATTTTTTGGTGATTATTTTGTTTCATGAACAGTGAACTCTAATAGGCTTTCACTTCTGAATACCTCTTAGGTATGAAGGCAGGTGATTTGAAACTTCACTGCAGAATGTTACAAGGTACACAGACGGGACACACAAGAGATAAAGTTCAAAAAGTATAAATCCTGAAGTGTCTTTCAGCCTTTTTGATTTCATCTATTGAGAATTCTTTCTTCAGTTCTGTACCCTATTTTTTTACGATGTTGCTTTCCTATGGAACTAAGAATTGCCATGCTGAACGTTTTGCCCCTTTCCTCCATCTTGTGCATAGCACAAGAAACCACAAAGGCTCTTTGTGTTTGGAAAGTGGGGTTCAAGTGGCATCTTCTGTCAGCATCTCTTCTCTGTCTCCCGCACACTTCCTCTGTTGGAAAATGTAACTTCCTCAGGCCTCGTTAATTTCCCCAAGTGACAATGAGGCGGTGAATATTTTGGATTAAACATACCATTTCAGCTGCCTTTGTTAATATCTTTCAAATTTAGCTTATATACTGCAGTACATGACGAACAAGCTTGACATTTAACAGAACATTAATCTGTGGTTTCAAACTTCATGCACACTTCTGGCCATCCTTTTTTCTGTGCAAAAGAAACAAGGTTGAACATTTATGCAGCTTAGTAGATTTTCCCTAAATGTTTTGCTTCTGTTATTAGTGTGTGGGATCACTGCTTTAATGAATGATACATACATCTCATTAAACAAAATAATTGGATGATAATACATACATAGGATGATTTTTGAAATGAGTTAACATCAGAGAATAAAAGGGTAAGTTTATAATGGTAATGTTGTTCCTACTTGATGTAAGACCAGCTACACTTGCATGCCTGGCCAGAAGCATCAAATATTTGGCCATCTTCCCATGATGGATGGTATGTTGTTTTGGATTTGCTGTGTTTCTTGTGATTGTTGCCTGCATATGATAATCCAGGCAGACTTTGTGGTTGCAATGGAAACACTGGAAAATACACTGACTTTAAATTGTTTCACTCACTTAGATTGGAAAGTACGCATGAATTATCTTGTGTTTAAACTACTTGATCAACATTTCTCTGAACACTTTTTAGCCCATGAGGGACTTCAGTGAATCAATGTTCCAGTCTAAGGAAATTTATACCAGAATTTGTCCTCAGGCATGTTAAGAGAATAACTGAGTATCTTTTAAAGATTTGTTTAATTTTGTGGTGTATGTGTGTGTATGTATGCATGCATGCATGCACATATGTGCATGGGAGACAAATAAAGCCAGAAAAGAGCATCAGATTCCTATCAGGATTTATAGACATTTGTGAGCTGCTTAATGAGAGTGCTGGAGGCTGAGCTCTAGTCTGTGTAGGAGCAGAAAGCTAAGAGAGCCACTAGACTATCTCTCATGTCCCAGGATGACTGAGTATTGAACTGGTGTTTAGTCTCCAGTACTTTCATTATTCTCTGGAGTATGTTTATTTTGGCAGTTGGCAGGGGGAAAGAGACAGAGAGAGACAGAGACACAGATAGACATAAACAGAGAAACAAGGACAGAGAGAGTCAGAGAGAATAGGTAAAAGAATGAATAAAACTTTCCCAAACCCAGACTTCATCAGCATGATAATGCTGAATTCTATTTGATCTAATAAATTGGTTAAAATGTGATTAAAAGATTAGAGAAAACCGAAAGCTGTCTAATATGCATGTATGTATACTTTCTTAATCAAATCCAGCAAAAAGTTAATTATAATTTTATCCCAGAAATATTTGAACTATTGTTTCAAAACATTATCCTTAGCCTAAGTCACACCTAATAATGACTTGGAAAGCTGTGACTTGTTTAAAAGAAAGAGCTGCAATAAAGAATGACTTTGATGTGGGCATCATCAAACAGTTTATAACAGAAAATGATTTTGTACACATGAATATTTCATTAGCAAATCTAATAGTATGCATTTTATTTTGTCCAAGACTAAAATATAGGGATATTGTAAAACTTTTCCAGAGTCTATTTTATTTCTGTTTTACTCCATTTTGGGTCAGAGGGTAGAATCCAGATCACCCCTTTGATACTCAGACTTTCTGCTGGTGAAGCAGAGAGAAGAATCCTCTAAATTTAATTCCTCTGTGATTTCCTATAAACTTCCATCAGTATTCTTCTAGTAAGACACATTGGAGTAATAATGCAGTGAACAAAATGAACTTGTTCATGTCTAGTTTATCCAGTGTTTTAAAAGATGTTTCAGGCTTTATGTTAGGAATATTTTATTAAAAAAATGGCACTGCCACAACTGGCTATAAAATGAATTATAATGAACATAATATGAAAATGATTTTATGTATAAATTTTAGAAGATTAAAAAGTGGGTTACAGAACTGAACAAAATTCTCAATAGTGAAAGACACTTAGGAAATTGCTCAACATCTTTAGCCATCAGGTAAATGCAAATCACAACAATTCTGAGATACCGTCTCACTCCTTTCAGAATGGCTAAAATCAAAAACACCAATGACAGTTTATGCTGGAGAGGATGTGGAGGAAGGGGAACGAACACTCCTCCACTGCTGGTGGCAGTGCAAACTTGTACAGCCACTTTGGAAATCAGTATGGCAGTTCCTCAGGAAAATGAGAATCAGTCTACCATAAGATCCAGCAATTCCACAAATAGGCATATACACAAAAGATGTATATTCGTACAACAAGGATATCTGTCCAACTATGTTCATAGCAGCATTATTTGTTATAGCCAGAACCCTGAAGCAACCTAGATGCCCCTCAACCAAAGAATGGATACAGAAAATGTGGTACATTTATACAGTGGAGTACTACTCAGCGGGGAAAACAAAACAAAACAAACAAACAAACAAACAAAAACAACGGAATCTTGAAATTTGCAGGAACTAGAAGAAGTCATCCCAAGTGAGGTAATCCAGTCACAGAAAGACAAACTATGTACTTACTCAAATACAGATATTAGACATAGAGAGATTGTAGGAGAAGCCAGAGAATCTAAGAACAAGGGGGATCTTCAGAGAAACATACACAGTCCGCTGGTGAAGGGGAAACAGACAAGAGCCCATGAACAAATTGAGAGCATGGGGGAAGGGTTAAGGTTAAGAGGAAGAGGAAGGGAGAGGAGGAGGAGGAGAACATGAGGGATCAGGAAGATTGAGTGGGGAGATGAATAGAGGACAGCAAGAAAAGAGACGCATCGATAGAGGGAGCCATTGTAGGTTTAAAGAGAAACCCGGCACTAGGGAATTGTTCAGAGGATCCACAAGGATGACCCGAAATAGGAATCTAAACAATAGTGAAGAGGCTACCTTAAATGACCTTCCCCTATAACGAGAATGATGACTACTTAAATGCTGTCCTGGAAACTTCAAACAGTAGCTGATTGAAGCAGAAGCAGACACCCACAGCAAGCCCTGAGCCAAACTCCTGGAATCCAGTTGCAGAGAGGGAGGAGTGATGAGCAAAGGGGTCAAGACCATGCTGGGAAAACCCGCAGAAACAGCTGACCTGAGCAAGTGGGAACTCATGAACCCCAGTCTGACAGCTGGGAACTAACATAGGACCAAACCAGGCCCCCCTGAACATGGGTGTCAGTTAGGAGGAGTAGGCAATTTATGTGGCCTCTGGCAGTAGAGCCAGGATGTATCCATAATGCAGGAATGGACTTCAAGAGCCCATTTCCCATGGTGGGGGGGGGGGAGTGTACTTTCTCAGTCTAGATTCACAGGGAACAGCCTAGGCCCTACCCTAAATGACTTCGCAGATTTTAAGGACCCCTCATGGAAGGCCTCACTCTTCCTGGGAAGTGGTGGGGGATGGGATTGGGGGAAGTGTTGGTGGGGCCATGGGAGGATGGAAGGGAGAGGGAACTGGGATTGATAAATAAAATAAGATTATTTCTAATTTCAATAAAATTTATAAAAAAATTTGGCATTATTCTGAAAATAGGTTTTCTCTCCAAAAATGAAAGCAGTAGATACATATCTTCTAAAATGTATATATAAAATTATTTTCTATATTATGTTCATTATAATTCATATTATGTAGTATATATGCATTATAATAAATATCAAGATGCTATGCTTAGGAGTCACAATTTTTAAAATGTCCTTCCTATTAAATTTTCACTGGTACTGGTAAAATTATGTTAAAGGTTATGTTGATGAACAAGTGTGGTTTTATTTGGTGAAACCCTTATATTAGTAAGGTTTGTCTCGAATGGGACAGTAAGAACTTTATCATAAAATCTTATTTAAAGAATGGCTAATTCTTCAGAGAGTAGGAAATTCTCTCATAAGGGCATGCACACAAGCACACTGTTCTTTAATTACACAATAAACAGTTTGGGAGGTTTTCCCTTGATAAAATGAAACTCGAGCAAGTCAGAAAATTACAGTTATTTTAAACAAAAGATTTGCATGACTGCATTAAATACTTATTATTATTGTGAAAAATACTCCCAGAGTTGTCCTATTTAGTCCAAGGTTGACAAGGCAGGGGCTTATAGTATACAGTCTCAACTCACTTCTAGAACATGATTTTTTCAGAATTTGCTTGAGATCTTTTTTTTTTTTTTTTTTTTTTTTTTTTTCCTAGAAGCTTTGGATTTTCTGACATTTCTCTTAGAAACTCATCCCACAAAGTCTATATTTAGAGTTATGTAGAAAAGTGCATATATACAGAAGATATATCAACAAAAATCTTAGGTTATATCAAAGGAGAA